CTCATCCCACGCCCCGTCCCGGTTCTCTCCCGTGCCCCGGCTGAGGGAAGGACGGGGCTCGCGGGGTTCGAGGCGCGGTCGCACCCACTGTTGTCCCCCAGCGCACGCGAAAGCCGAGTGACCGTGATAAGGGCGAGTTTAGTTCTGACATTCCCTGAGCTCGTAACCTCTTTTTACACGTTGTTTTAAATGGAATTTCGTTTTCCTGTTGGCTACTTCCAGTACAAATGTAAATAAACTCTGCAGAGGAGGTGAAAGCACAGTCGATGGTTTGTCTGAAGCCTTGGGTCACTCCTCGCCACAGTGACATATCTTTCTGTTTCCCTTAAAGGCTCAGTTTTCCTAAAATAGCTTTTTCTTCTTTGCAAAAGTTACACACAAGGACCTTAACTCCACTCCTTTTTTTTTTCCCCTGCAATTCTCCAATGATCCTGTCAAAAAGCACTAAACCCAGATCTGAGCCCCTACTGCAGCCCTGCCTTGGCTGTTCGAGGTGTGCAGGATCTGTGGTCAGGTACATCTCACACACCTGGCAGTGCCCATGTCTCCACATTCACACCCTTCCCAGTCTGTCAGCAGAGCACACTGTGATCAGCCCATCACCCTGAGACCACCAGGCTTTTTTCTTTTAAGTAGTTATTAGTTTTTAAATTAATTCCGGTGTAACAGTGCTCAACCAGAAGGTGTTCCATGACTATCCAGTTGCTCCCAGGTTCTCCCTGGTAATCCTTTGCCCTATTCCTTAACATTTCTCTCAGATCTGCATCTCTTCCTATTGATGTTTTTCACTACTGACATCTCTTCTGGCTACTGTGCTGCTTCAAGTCTGTCTTTGCCTTGCAAGTGTCCCTGCCGATGTCTCTGCCTATGTCCTACTTCTCCCAGTTCCCATAGGGTCATTTCTGGCATCCCACCTTCTCCTGTCCCTACTTGCTCCAATCCAGCTTCCTTTGCCATCAGCTGAACAATTGTGTTTTTCCACAACTGTACAATCCCCTCATTGCCACTTGCTCACCTCCCCAAAACACCAGGCTGGCTTCTAACCAGGACTCACGAGGGAAGCCACTGCTTTTGGATGCACATCCAGATGTCCCTGAGGCCTCTCCCTTGGGGCTCCAGGTGCCACCCAGCCTTGGCTGATGGAAAGAAAGCTCTCAGGCAAGAGCAACATAATCTAATAAACTTCTCTCTGTATTTAACAGACATTCAATTCTACAGCTCATGGTTTTGTGTATTTGAGTGGGATAATGCTTCTGATGTATTTATTTTTACTTGTTTATGTTTTCCTTTCCATGATGTGTTCGCCTTCACTTTAGAAAAAGTGTTTTTTCACTCAGATATTGTAGACAGCAGTAAATGCGAGTGTTTAATTTTCCTGAAACCAAGTAAAATATTATTTAAAAGGTTGTCTTAACTCTAAAAGTGAAATTGTGCTTACAGTTCTGATTACATACATAAATAAATCTGTCATCAGCAAATGCAAAACAAATTATTGTAGAGAATCTAGCTTAAACACAGCCTGTCACAGCAAATTTAATTAAAAACTGGCATGTATCTAGATTATTTTTTACTTTCACTGGGATGTGCCTGATCAAAGAGGAAACCAACCAGGCAGGCCAGGAAATTGTGGAAAGACTGTCAGCTCCTTTGAGTGCTGTGTTCAAATATGTGTCTAATCCAATTAAACCCTAATAAGTGGTCAGAAGCTATGGAATGCTTACCCAAAAACCCCTCCCATGACAGAACTCAGTGAATGTATTTCAGTGAAGCTCTGCCGTTGCTGAGAGCAGACAGGAGGAGTATCAATTGCTTTTACACATACTGAAACACACTGCCAGTACCTGCACTTAATGTTGGGTCTTTTGCCTTAACAAGGCGACACTACAGCCTCGATTCTGGAAAGAACATAAATGCATTTTAAGAAAATTATTAGTTCCATGCTTAAAGTAAAGGGCTGCGCTGGGGGAGAAGAGATGATACTTACTGAAAAATGATGGCAGATAATGAGAAGAAGGAGGAAAAAACCCTCGTTATTTCAAACAGAAATCAAAGCACCTCTGAGAAGAGTTTGTTGAAGCAGAAACACAGTCTCTGCAGTTTAACAGGTATATCAGGAAACAGCTAAGCCACACAATCAGTCTGTGCAAATATGCCATGGTTTGGACTGTCTCCATCTTCATATGACGTTCAGGAATCACACTGATGAGTTCATCCTACAATGAGGGTGTAGAAATTCCCTGTAACACATGTATCTACTTTAACTGTTAATTCGTGTTCTGTAAATAGGTCTCTTGAAAAGTGAACATCATCCCATGAAGGCCCTGGGAGCCCTGGGATCAGCACTGTTGGGCTGGGGCCAAGGACAAACACCACGGAGCTGCCCTATTGTGCCACTCTGCAGTGGGGGTGGGAGGGATTTCAGGTTTTTGTGCTAATTCGAAACTGAAGCCACATGTCCCCAGATCATCATCAGTCTATCAGTTTTCTTATTTGTCTGGGACATCGAAGCCATGGCTTTCTTGGTAGCTGCTGTAGGAGTATGGCTCTTGCTTTTGGAATAAATCAGTGTGACCCTGAACCTCCCATCATCCCAACAAAACACAGGCATTAAGCATATACAGTTTTCCCAGCATTATTTAAAAAGATCTCAAGCCTTTGTGCGGGGGTGACGAGAGAGAAATAAGACACGTTAAGATGTTTTATAAAGATATATTTTAACTTCTAAGGCACTCAGGAACCATGGTGATGGTTCCTGAAATTGCTTAGATATGAGCTCTGATCCACAGGGAACTATTCTAAGAGCATCAGATGCTAATGACTTCTAGTTAGTACCGACCTGGGCTGGATCGAATGGGTGACACAAAGCTGAAATCCCTGGAGATCTTCATTTGAATGTCAGCTACTGCTCTGACAGCATAAAGTGACCTCAATGAAAAGGAGGGTCTCGCTGTAATCTCACACTGTTGGGAAGTTAAAAACAGTCTCTCACCCAAATTGCTGTGCACCTGATGCCAGAACAAATTTAGTTTTCCCCTCAGTATTTCCTTTCTTCTCCATTCGACATTCTGATGGAGTTTGCAGGGAGCTTATGGTGGCTCAGACACCACGGAGTTAAAACTTGTAAAAGGATTGCTGTGCTTGTTCTGTGCATGCCAAGGGGAGTACAAAAGATTATTAATTGCAGAATGATACTGTCAGTAACAGCCTTGATCCTGCACTGGGCATCATCCTGTCACTGTCAGAACCTGTCACTGTTGTAGGAGATGTCTTGTATTATCTATCATGTTCTGAACACATAGTTTACAATTATACTTTAAATATCTTATAAGGGATCCATTTTACAGCAACCTTAAAAGCTTATTATATAATTCTAACAATTTTAATTAACATACTGACATTTTGTTGCTGTCTGTGTAAAATTAAGTTGCTTTTATTTTTCATCTGCAGTAGCAGTAGCATCCAGGCACTGTCCTGCAGTTCAGTAATGGAAATTTCCCAGCCTCAAAGCACACTCTGTCTCAGTCAGCTGCAACAAAACTCTGGGTGATTTCAATGTTGTTGTGTGTGCTTTACTTGTCCTTGCTTATCTGGAGCTTGTATCTTTTGAAAACCAGCTACTCCTCATGAGCTTGCTTCATCTTGCCCAAGACTTAAAATTCAGTAAACAAGCTGGGAACGATAAGAGAACTGAATCACCAGATAAAGAGTTATTTTACAGGACTGACAAAACAAAACATACATGTAGTCAGTATTTATACAGAATGTTGCAGTGACTTGTGAGTCGTCACTGAGGTCCTGGTACATGACCTTTGTTTTCTTGTGCTGAAGCTTTATGCACTGAAAGACTATTAAGTTCTTACAAAAAGATTTAGCTAGTGTATTATATCAGTCTCTTGATCTCTGTATTTCTGGTATAATTGATTGCTAGGAAAATAAAAAATAATTTAAAAAAAGAGATAAAATTATTACAAAGCCTTGGAAGTATAATAATTGACAAATACTAAAACATGCAGCCTGTTCTCCCACTTGTTCTCTGTTCAGCTGTAAGGCAGGACAAGTGATGCCTCCAGCAGAGGCAGAAGTCAAAGCATGTAGAAACAGGATTATTAGGGCTTTACATTGTCCAGATATTGCAGTAGCTTCATTTTTAATACTTCTTGTTCATAGCTAAAAAATTTAGGGAGCATTTGTGATGAAGAGGTTGGCTGATGTTAGGACAGGGGAGAAACGGTGATTCAAGAAAGAGTAAAAGAGAATGAGGAGGGAAGAATGTAAATTAAAATCAACAGGTAGTGGGACTGAGCAATGGGAGTAGAAGGGTCATAGCTGGAGGGGTGACATCCAGACCCCACTGCATCCAGCTTTGTGTATGTGAAGCCCTTGGCAGACACACAAGTCCCTTCATGGAGAACTGGTTTGGAGAATGATGCCAGGCCTTCCAAAAAGAGCTCACCAGGACTTGCTTTCCCTGACATCATTGTCTGCTGGGGTGATATCCATCACAAGTACACTGTGATGTTGACTAATGACTGTGATGGCACAGGTATATCCTACCTGTCTGCTCTTATTAGATTTAGTATAAACAATGGGCAGTGACTGAACAGAAACAAGTGATAAGAGACAGTACACTAATGGCATTCTGACATTTTCACCTAAAAGTCACTAGGGTTTAAAATTCAGCCAGCATTGCTAAAACATCCCAACAACTGGGTGGCAGCCTTTAGGAGCAGGTTGGAGGCTGCAGCACAGCGACTCTGAATATAAGGTTCCATACGCAAAATAAACTGTCCTACTGAGTTTTCCTGGCAGATCACATGGAAACAGGATTCCTTCTTCTCCTCTGCTGGGCAGGTCCTGGCCTTGCTGACATGGGACTGCAGAAGAGGCATCTCCAGATTTATGGCTGGGACACACTTCAGGGTACCTGCAGGGAAATCTGCATCTTTGCTTTCTAAGGTGCACCTGTGCTGTGGGAGGTATCAGTCTATTTTCCTTGCACTTGGTTCAATCCACTGACCTGACAGCCCATAGAGTCTGTGCTGCTTATTTTTAATAGATATTTTAAATATTACAGACATCCATTTCTACAGTCCAAAACTGATGAATCATCATTCTTTAAAACAAACTTTTCTTTTGCAATTTTGCATATCTATAGCAGATAAAAGCAGTACAGAGAAGAGTGATTTCCTGAAGGAAGTGGTGTCAACATATTTTGAAAAAAAGAGCCAAGCTGTTGGAATCTGTGTTGCATTACAGGGTAATGCAATATCTCTGAGCACTTCCTGTTTATCACGAGAGATACAGTTTTCACCACATCATAAAACTTTCAAACATTTGTTAATAAACACTCCTAGAGAAAAAATAATTTCCAAATATACAACCTCCGTGGCATCTGTCATTAAAAACAAAAGAAGGTTTTCATTATATATATCAGAGGACTATCTGTGTGAGAGAAGCAGATTCTGAGGGTTCCATCCACCTCCTCCTGAAGGCCATGTTGCATCTCTCATTAGGTCATTGCACCCCAGCACATAATTCTTCTTATATGTAAACAGCAAGATGTTTGAATGAGCAAATGTAATTTTTACTATCATCATTTGTCATTTTTTTAAACAGTGTGGGGACACAGAGAATGAACATCTGCAGAATTGCAGCACAGAGTCTTGTATGAAAATGACAAGAGTAAGATTTGCTTCTAACAACAATAATCTGCCAGTGCAGAGGTACCCAATCAAACACACAAATCGTGCAGATGTTCACAGTGGTGCTGTCTCCCTGTGTAGCTTTTCTCACTTGACAGCTTTGTTGCCTCAATTAATTTTTCTGGATAAATTAACCTTGCTGGAAAAGGTAGAGCTGGGGAGCAGAAGGGTGCAGATTTTTCAACACCAGCAACCTTGATGTTGCAATTTGCACACCCAGCAGATAAAATCTTTGGCAAGGAAATGCAAATTATTGTGACTGATTCAGGATGTTCTTGTGATCATAGCTGGGACTTGGTCTGCAGCTGATGGGGGGGGGAGGGCTGGGGAGGGAATTCAAGGTTTCTGTCAATTCTACAGGGAATAAACATTTTGATAGGTACCTGTACAACAACAATACTGTACAGTGAGGCACAAGACAGGCTTGTGCCTCTTACAGCCTTACCACTGAGGAAGGCTTGTCAAGTTCAGAGCAAACTACAAGGCCTATCTGTTCAAGATGGGAACATCTGAACTGCAGTTTCATGTGATAAAATCCTGCTGCACGGAAATTCAAGATGGGGAGTGACTATGCACAATTCTTACTCCTTTAAATGGCTATAACATTTAAAACTCTGCCACACAGACTGTTATCAGTTAGACCAGGGGAAAGATTGAACCTCAGAAAAAAGTTCCCTCCAGCTACCAGCACCACATCTAGCAAAATTGAATTAATAATTAAGACATTTGTAGCTTTTTGGATTTTTAAAGTTTCAACAATCGGAAAATTATCTGGCTCACATTATCTTTGTCTTACCTGACATATGGTGGTTATTATTGCAGATATGAAGAGCCTCATGATAAGAGATGCCTTTTGTAAGTGCAACACATCCATTGTAATCAGGCACTACATTTATCTTAACTGCATTACTGAGTCTCTGGGTTTTGTAAAAGTGACACAAAATTGTTTTGAGATCCAACAGCATCCTGCATCTCAATTAACTTTTCAATATGATGTCTCATTTCCCACTTATGTTAACAGCCAAACTGAATCCCTGGCCTGGAAATCCTACTGCTCTAAAAAACAAAAAAAAGAAAAAGAACACCGTTCTTTTTGAAGGATATGGCAAAATATCTGCAGGATGATGCTCTGCATCCAATTTTACATGTACCATTAACGGCAGCAGGGTAAGATTAAGTGATTATTCTCTGACAACAGTACGTGTGGGGGAGCAGACAACAGATGTGCAGCCACTTAGCCTATGCCTTGTGCACCAGACCGTGGTATGGAAATTCACGTGGATATTTAATTGTTATTCAACTACAAGTTGCTTGGATTTATGAGTCTGGAAGCGCATATGCTGCAGTGAGAAATGAGTGTTTATTAGCACAGGAGCTGTGCTGGCCTTTCCTGCAGAGAGGCAAAGTACCCCTGTCTAGAAAAAATGGATTAAAAAGGGGCTGTGCACCACTCTCCTGTCCCACTTACCTTTGTGAAGTGCAGTTGGATAAATGCCAATATATGGATACATTTCCATCATGAACTCTGAACAGCTTTTACTGCTGCTTATCACAGATAAGAAAATGCAGCAGCTGTCCTTTTATCAAATCCCAATTTAGAGAAATGTATGTCTAAATAAGGGATATAAGCAAGATCCCACCTTCAGGGACAGCCACATGGATACATAAGAATAAATCCTTTAAGAGCTAGGATGGGACCATCATCTTGTATTCAAGAATTTTTCCAGTGCTTGTTGCAGCAACCTTCTGTGGTTACTCTGCACATGTCCTCTTTCCTCCTTGGTTCGTCTTCCAGGACTCTTACCCATGCCAACATCTTCCAGGACTCTTACCCATGCCAACATCTTCCAGGACTCTTACCCATGCCAACATCTTCCTGGTCTCCTGCAGTTCCATTCAGTCCTTTCTCTGCTGTGTGGGTTGGTGCTGCTGGGTGACCTTCCTTCACCCATCCAGTCACCCTCCCTGGGTCAGGCCGTGTTCATCCTGTGCCCTTTGGAGGGAAGCCCCACCTAGGAGGTGAAGTGGGAGGTTAGGCATCAAATAGCAGTGAGGCACCCCCCCAAACACACCAAATCTTCAGCAAAAAATCTGATGTTCATACTTCTCTCACTCATTGCAGTTCCAGTCTCCATTCTCACAGTGTCCAATTCTTCTCATTTCCTGGGCTGGTATATTTTTTACTGAATTTATTTTCTTGCAGTTTACTGAGCTGCATGAGCTCATTAAAGAGGCAGACAAGCACCAGACCTGTACAATGAAAGCAGCAGGGCTGGAAGCAGAAGTATCATTTTGATACCAGCAGTCTTTTGGATTTGGCTCAGCTGCCAGGTGATAGCAGTCCATAAGTAAAACATGGAGGTTTGACTGCACTGCTGAGAAGCCTTCAGACACTTCTCTTGCCTTTGCCATCCTTTGCTGCACTTTTCTCTGTTCTTGAAAAAATGCAGGAAAAAGCAATCATGAGGGTAGTTTTATAGTGACTTCCTCACCACCTTCTTTCTGCTTGTCCTCTGCTTCTCCTGTTTCTACCATTGACCCTTTCCAAAGTCTTTCTGCTGTAATTCTCTCTGCTCCTGGTGGCTTCGTCCTACCATCTCACAAGCATCTGCTGTCCTCTAGAAATGTCCTCTTGATCCAGGGTCTTTTTCCTTGCAAACACACTGCACAAGCCAGACAGACAAATGCAGGCCTTCTTTCTCAGGACAAGTGTTCAAAAAAAAAAAAACAACTATTACACAATCATCAAGACATGCGCATTACTCACCAAAACAATCCAGAGGATCCTATTTCTGCCCCTCAGCACTCCAGTAGCACCAGGGCCCTGAAGGCAGGACCCAGGAAGGACTGTGGGTGTACAAACCCAGCCCTGCAATGGAGGACTCTGCTTTGTGCAATGATCAGAAGCCATCCTGCTGTGGAGGACAGAAGTATCTTGCTGTGTTTGTTTTGTGATGTGGTCTGATCATTTATACTGTTGAATTAATAAAAATAACAAGATAGAAGCTTTCCAAACAGAATCCATTGCTAACTGTCATTCATTGCTCTATTCTTGTTCCACACACATTAGGAAGTGCACATTATCTGGTAAATCAAGACAATAGAAACAAATAAATGCCTTTATATCGTAAGGGGAAAAAAAGTCTTTTAGAAATACTGTAGAAACAGTCACATCCTCTATTTCTGTCTTTTAGAGGAGGCAGGCTGTGTCTTATTATCATCAAGGAAGAAGTAAACAAATGTAATTTAATCAGTTCTGTCTTTCGTTTATTTGCATCAGCCAGAATAAAAGACAAAGGCAGAATGGAAAACAGCAGCTTTGTGCTAGAACTTTGAATGCACAAAATACTTCTTTCTCCAGCCGTCAAATATTAAAAAACGCTCTGCATACCAGTAATAATAAAAGTGTCAAACAATTGACCACAATGGGAATCACAATGCTTCATTAAAAGCTCTGAAGCAGAGTAGAAAAGCTTCCAGCCGTTTGCTAAACAGAACTAAATGCTCAAATACTTTCAAAAAGTGTCAGAAGATGCTTTCATCTCATCTAGTCAGGCAGATAAATATCTCCTTGCTTATTCAAGCCCTGTCTCTGAGCTTGTGCCACTTCACCAGTACCAGCTGCATGTGCCACTTGCTGTGCTGGGGCTGTGGCACCTCTCAGAACACCACAAGAGGTTAATGTCCTCCCCTGGGGATGAAGCTCCATTGCATGTGGTGCAGGGATTTAATCAGTAATTTTATATTTACATATGTAATTATGTATTATTTGGAGAACCTAACCTATTTGTTCAGCTGACAGGCGATGTTGTGATAAGGAATTTCAGCAGACAGGATATTTATAGATCCTTTATCTCTACGTACAATCAGAGTGAAAACGTCAAACAATACCCCGAATGAAGGGTTGTTTCAGTTCAACTTTTCCCTATTGTTGCTTGTCCTTTTTTTTTCTTTTCTTCCTTCTGTCTGGTTACTGCCTAAAACTTGGCAGTGAGAGAAAAAAGGGAATGTGACTCACACTGACAACTTCATTTGCTGTAAGAGACCTCAGTAATTGCTCTAACCCACTTACAGGAAAACTACCCCTCCTCTTTCTCTCTTCCTCCACCCTTAGACAGACAGAGGCCATGCTTGTAACAGGAGCAGCCGGCTGCTCTCAGAGGTCATGCTATCACTTATGGAGTAACCTAGCCTCTTTCTTTTCAATTTTCTTCTGGATTTCAAGTTAACCCCTCACAAGAATTTAGAGCAGCTTCAGCTTAAGGGGCATCTTCCTGATGCGGATTTTTCATGAGTCTAACAACCAGGGTTTGCAAAGGGCTCCCAGCTCAAATGCAGCAGGGATGAGGTGGCTGCTCCCACAACACACGGGGCCTGGCAGCCATAATGGCAGCTCCAGGATAAAGCTGCCAAGAAGTCAAACAATTGTCACCTTTTCCTTTCCTTGTGGGATGGGGGCAGGGAATGGTAAATAGGAACAGGAGAAGAATCAGCACAGTGCCGTGCAGCACTCTATCAAAATATATTTTCATTTTTACTTACATAATCAACACGAGAGCGGCATTCGTAGTGAGGTGGTGGAACAGATGGCAAAGACACAGTTTCCAGCAAGACGTTAATTAACAACAAACTCTGGTTTCTGCTGGAGAAGGGGGTTTGTTCTGCTCTAGCAGGGTTAAGATGGGTGCTTACTACATAAGACAAAACTCAGTTTCCCCAGACAGAATTGTGATCTTTATATTTCTTTTTTTCCATTGCATCTCTGTTGACTCTTCCAGGATACTCTCTAAAACACAGCAACATCTCAAATACAAAGCCTTATTAAAAACCATCCCAAGTTTGGATCCTAGCAGTAGCTTGGGATTCTCTTCGCAAACACTTCTGACTGTTCTGTGGACATATAAACACAAAGAGGAAAGACAAGAAAAGTTAACGCGATTAAGTGAGAGAGCTTTGTGCAACTTGCACTTCAGGTGAAGCTTGTTTTACATACAGCAGCCTTTACAGATATGACTGAAGTTAAAGCTTTCTTAGATGCATGCTTTGCATGAAGTTCTCTCTCTTCTTCTCTCTGGTCCACACGCTTGGAATTAACATCTTCAGCACACTGATGCAGCTGAGTTGGAAAGAGTTATCCCCAAGGGGACTGAAGCAGAAGGTAGCTATGCAAGACATTTATTCAAACCACAGGCAGAGAATACACCACCCAGCCACAATGAATAAGGAAACGGCACATGCAGCTTAAAAGTCTATCGTCTATTCTTCGTCTGACAAGCTGGCTCAACAGCCAGGCACACTGACCACCCCACAGACATCCAGCTCTTCCCTCCCTGTGCTGCAAGGTGACAGAGATTCCTTCTTCCTGCTTTGTATTCACCGTCAGAGGCTCTCCAGAGTCACGCCCCAGTCCTGCAGAGGCCTGTGGGCCACATTCCTCTGGGGATTACATCCATCCCCACCAGGGGAGAGGGAAGAGAGATGCAGGCCTGAAGGGATGGGCAAGCACCGGGAAGGGAGGAGCTGAGGGGAGCAGGGGAAGGAGTGAGCTACAGAGAACCTCCAAATGAACACAGGCAGGAGCTGGAAGACAGTGCTGCAGGAAAGGGAGAGGGGAAGCAATCATACACTGTAGCAATATTATATAAAATATGGCAGCAGGGCATCTAGATTTATCCGCTGTGGAGCTTGGAAATGGACCTATTATTCCCACCTCTCAACACTCATCCCTCTGCTGCCAGCATATCTCTTAACACCTGACAAGAAACGTCTCTGCCCATTCTAGTGACATGCACATCTAGAAAGGATGCCTTTCCATTACTCCCACTTTCTCCATGCAGGCAATAGATGGTTGTGGGTCTGTGCTGTAAAGCTGAAAGTCATGCCTCTGCTCATTACTTAGAGGGAGTGAATGATATTATTGCAGAAGATTTTTTATTTTCTTTCAATGTGTGTATTAAAAACATAGTCGGGATGAGTTAAAAATTACACTACAAAAATACTGCAGTTATGAAGTCATAACACTAAAAAATGAGTATATGCCTGAACCAAGAATGTCTCTTCCACCTTTCAGCAGCTACTTTTAATTAAAAGTATCAGGTAGGCCCCCGTGCCATATTGCTCTCAACCACGAAAAAGTGCATCTTGACATTGTTATATGGAGCCCAATTAACCGAAGATTTGGGCCTCCATCAGTTTATGTGGTGTTAAACCAGAAATGGGCCACAGAGAGTATTTTGCATACATCAGATGGCAGAGATTCTGCAGGATGATCTTCAGGAGAAGTGTCAGATATCACTGAAACTGTTCTTAGGAGGTGCAAAGTAGAGGAAAGAAAAGAACACAAAAAATTGTATTCTGCTTAGCCTGTCCTCCTTTTGCAGGGGTTAAGAGGGAGATGTGAGAATCAGCAGAACTGTTTCTGTACTTAGAGTTGCTTTTTTGGGAGGCAAGGACGAAAAAGCCTTTGCAGATATTACCTCTAAAAAAAATGTAATCAGCATAACAAGAAGTTAATTCTTCAAGTAAAACTAAAAAGAGAAGGACCAACAGACACATAGACAAGTACTGACTTCAGTGGAGCTGCAGGGCTGAATTTGGCTCCAATTCTGTGAAGTACTTTCAAAGAAGGAGCATTCTGCATACAAATGAGCATTAAATAATTTGCATCATTAAGAGAGCTCTGAGCAGCTCATCTGGACTTTGAAAAAAGCTAAAGGAAATGTACACCGTTTGAATACCACTAAGGACAGTCATTAACGAGCATTAAGACATCTACAGTATTGACACTGAGCTGTAATAAGAGACCCAATCTCCTTCCCAGGTTATTTTCTTTATTGATTTGTAGAATTTCTCACACATGAGCTTTAGAGTGTGACAGAGCTCAGCAATTAATGTAGGAACACCCCTTAAAGGACTATACAATTACTTCTTTTTCATATTGCATCTTCTAATTTTGCTTTTCTAGAAATGTAGCCCTGTTTGGTATAGATACCACAGACAATTTCAACACCAAAGAAACAAAGAGGTAAATGGATTTACCCAGGATGACACACACAGTGTAACAGAAATAGCCAAATGGGTCTCGTTTCCCTGTCTATCCATTTCACTTGATCAGCTCTAAGCAGATCTGCTGCAGCACTGGGATAAACTGTGGCCTCACACTGTATCTCAGATGCTTGGAAACACGTTTCCGAAGTAGCAGACAGAGCAGGACAGCGCAGAAGGTCAGGTGAAGAAATAAAGTTGTGCAAAGAACCAAAGGTACAATATAGTTGAAGGTACTCAAGTGCCAGAGCTGCAGGAGCTGAGGAGTGATGGAATACTGAAAGCTAAACATGCGCAGCAAAGTGCAAAGGGGGAGGCAGGGGCAGGCACCAGCCTACGGGCAATTGAAGGGGAGCTGGAAGGAATCTTTAATGAAGGCAGAAATCGTTCTGGGTGACTCAGAATATTGGTATTCACAAAGAGAATTGAGAACAGGCAAAAATAAATAAAGCTGAAAGCAAAACCCTAAGACCAAATCCCTCTCAGTAACCAGAACACTGAAACAATCTGAACAACTATACAACAGGTCCTTGTGAAAACCTCTCTCTGGGTACTTCCTGCACACCAGCCCCTCTCCACAGCTGGCGAGGGCTGCAAGCAGCTCCCACTGCCCCAGCCCAGGGGCTTTGCAGGTTGCTGTTGTGCTGACACCCTTTTTCTAGCAAAATGCAGCCCTGGTGGTCCTCCCTCCACACCCCCAGCCCTCGGCTTTCCTGTGACATCTCAACTAGTGCATTGTGTAACCTCACAAACTTCCCTCGAGCCCTGAGCAGCTCAGCATGGCTTTCATGAGCTGCCAGCTTTTGTACATGTCACAGGCACAAATGTCGGCCCCTGACAGACCCAAAGTCGCAGTAGTTTTATTTACGAGTGGATTTATGCTAGCCAGCTTCCAGATCCTGCCACAATCAGCCAAAAATGTATGCAGGCAGCATTTAACTAAACCCCAAGTTTTACAATGAAGACTGAAAAACAGGTTAGTTTCAATTTTATTTTCTTTTTATACAAGCGTGATGGCTTTTTGCCTTTCTTTTCCTAATTTTTCATTAAAGAGTTGTCAAAGAAGCGACAGTTATAAATTTTGGAACTGAGATCACTATGACTGAAGAACAGGAAAGACTTCCTGACAGTGAGATCCATTAGTCAATGGAGTGGCCTCCCAAAG